TGCGTGGGCGGGTTATTTGCGTGGGCGGGTTATATGGGTGAAAATACGGTACTCGATCACTCTAGATTCAAATTTGAAATCTTGAAAAAAAATGGGATTTTTTTTGCAAACAGAGAGCATGCAATTTTAAATTGTGCTGTTTCATAACAACCCATTGATATAACAATGGCGACAAATTGATTCTTCAACTTTGTTGTCTCCATGCAGGCTCAAACATGAGCTCAGCCAAGTATACTTATTGTGTTCCTCTTTGGATGCTCCAAGCATTGCTTGTGTTGCTTCATCTCTCAGAGTTCTCAGAAAGCTAATCTGGGATTGGCAGGCAGTAAAAAATTACTAGGCGGTGACCATATCAAGTACTCTGGTTGTTTCCAGATTCCATAGCTTATTTTGGCACTCAATGAAATGTCAGTTTAGTGAAAAATCCACATCAGGATCCAAAAGGCCTTGGGGCAGACCACTTTAATTGGACCTCTCAGTTTCTAGATGTTCTGGGTGGTGACAGTTCTAGGGAGTAATCCATCCACAGCAGACGACTCAGAGTAATATTTTCCATCTTAATATTATGTTTATTTGCTTTGAAACAACCAAGATATCTAACAGATGCCTACTTTATGCTGCAAGATACAAGCGCTCAAGAAAAGATCCTGGAGAACAGCAGGACAGTTAGTACATCAACACGATCCTCCAGTCCATTTGTACCTGTAGCCCAACTTCATGTACAACATTCTCTCATTAAACTTACTGTCAGTGTTGGATGTACACGTGACAAAATTCACAAAAGTGCTCTATTTAAAGACCTGGGAATGTGAGCAGATTGCATTGGAGCAGACTTAAGCCAGATACAGCTTTATACATCCAGATGTGCTTTTTTTCCATTGCAGCTGAGTTACTTGCAAAGAAGCAACCGTTAAAGACAAGTGAAGTATACTCAGATGATGAAGAAGAGGAGGAAGATGATAAATCTAGTGAGAAAACTGATAATTCATCCAGATCTTCATCTTCTGATGAAGAAGAAGAGTAAGTATTCAATATCTGCTTTGATATGTAGCAGATACAACTGAACATTTAATATTCCTTTAGATCTGGAAATTTACATTGCTACTTCAATTATTTCTGTCTTCATAGTTTGGTTAATTGTTGTTTGAACAAAAGTGATATGTAAATGTAATAAATAATAGAAATGTATGGATCCCTTATTTAGTTAAATAACATAATAAACTGATAGTGCTCAAAGCATTCTAGAGATTGCTCACTGAGCCCCTAATTTAAAAACCAATATATTTATTTAATTAAAATGCCTACACTTCTATCAATTTAGTAATTTTTATTTTCTAGTATATGAATGTGGTAATTTCAGACTGTTTTAAGATGTGAATTATTTCCTTACAGTTGCTTTTGCTTTCCCATCAAACCAGGAAAGAAGAAATTCCTCCTAAATCACAACCAGTGTCTCTACCTGAAGAACTGAATCGGGTTCGATTATCCCGACACAAATTGGAACGATGGTGTCACATGCCTTTCTTTGCCAAAACAGTCACTGGTTGCTTTGTGCGTATTGGAATAGGAAACCACAACAGCAAACCAGTTTACAGAGTAAGCCTACCCTTAAGTATTTCCCCTTATTCTTATTAGTCATAAGAAAAGCAAGTTTTGTTCATGATGCTTTTTCAAAATACGATGAAGTGAAAGCTAGTAATTAATGGTACAGCCACTCCTTGTATAACAGCTACCTCATTTAGTTACTGTTTGCAGATACAATGGTGGTAATGTAGTTCTTTTTAAAAAAAATCATTTTCTAACAAATGTGCACACTCGTGACCAGATTTCCTTACCTGACAACAACACATGCCAGAGTCAGAGCAACACTGACATTGAGTCACTCCATGTCCAAACCATCTTTAAGTATTTAACATGGGATGTTACATTGTTTCAGTTGAACAGTATGCACATTTGTTGAGCTTTACTTAACATTATTTTAACTTAATTTTTTTCTGTCCCATTCATGAAGAAATTGTAAGCGCTTATCAGATAATTAAATGAAGTTCTTATGTAATCCTGTCTCAAGATAAACTTAAGAGTATTATTGCAAATTAGCTAATACGCTTTACATTTTACTCCAGATCCTTCTATTATCACTTCTCACTAGATTTGCTTTGATTTTCCTGCTTTGCTGAGAAAATGTATATATATGTACTAGTCTCCCTTTATTTTTATTTTTATTTTAATTTATTTGTATGCCACCCTTTTCCCTGAAAGGGACTCAGGGCGGCTCACAACTCAAAGGGAGAGGAAAAAACAAACAAAGTTACAAAAAACGTAAAAAACCATGCATAATTAAAAAAGCACAACAGTCATACCATTCGAAGTGGGGCAGCGAGTCTTTAGC